ATATGAAAAACTGCGAGTTAGTCGTTTCGATCACTATAATTATCGATTTAGAAATAGTTAATATTTATTTAGCTCCTTAGAGGCCCTCGACATTAAAATATTTCTATATCTTGAAATAATGAGAAATATCATTATTGTTATTTTAGAAATATTGCGAAAGTTCTTCGAGAAATTCAAGGACAAGGAATAACTAAAAATTTGTAACATAATTGACGCAAAACTTTCACTTGTATATTTCACGAGAAAATTATTTCAAATCTCGAAAGATATGAAAAACTGCGAGTTAGTCGTTTCGATCACTATAATTATCGATTTAGAGATAGTTAATATTAATTTATTTAGCTCCTTAGAGCCCCTCGACATTAAAATATTTCTATATCTTGAAATAATGTGAAATATTATTATTGTTATTTTAGAAATATTGCGAAGTATCAATATTTTAAACATCACGAAGTATCTGAACTTCCGTTAATTCCGTCAAATATTTCTTCAGATAGAAACGATGAAAAATAGCACTGGCACTTTTGGATCATTGGATAATATCAAAGAGGACGAAGAAGACGGCCAGTCTTGTGACTTAGGAAATTACACAATGTACATAAATTCCTCTGTTGACACTGTGTTCGAGAAAGATCCGGAAGTTCCGGTGCTTACAATGAAACGCTGCGGGTTTTCTTGGGGCACGGACGAAAGTCTACTATCCATCTCTGATCTTACCTTTCCACGTGGTAAGGTTCATGATTAATTACAATTATCAGCCGTGAACATTCGTGGGAAATTTGAAGTTACAAGAATGAAGTGAAACAAAGAATGAAGAAACATGGTGTCCACTATAATCATCGCTATAAACTAAAATTTCAATTTTTCAATCACGCCCATAAGAATGTGGTATTACATAAACGTCGACAGTTTACTGATCATTCAAAGTTTGTTCAAAGTTTAAGAAATTACATACGTTGCTGTTTTAGGTCAGCTGACGTTAATTGTCGGGAAGACAGGAAGCGGGAAGACCTCCTTGTTGTTAGGAATGTTAGGAGAGATCCAAAGGACAACAGGATCAATCGAATGGGCTAAGTAAACTCTAAAATTTCCTTATTAATTCCTATTGTCTGGTTCTTGTATTATACATTCCAACTGTAAATGAAATATCGTGGAACAGAGGAGTCAAGGTTGCGTACGTGGCTCAGAAACCCTGGCTACAGAACGCCAGTTTAAGGGACAATATTCTTTTCGGATCACCGTACAAATCGAGAAGATACAGAAACGTGTTGAAGGCATGCGCTTTGCAGCCGGACGTGGACATACTTCCGGGCCGTGATTTCACGCGGATAGGTGAAAAAGGGATTAATTTGAGCGGCGGTCAGAAGCAAAGGGTGACTGTGGCCAGAGCATTCTACAGCGACGCGGATGTTATAATAATGGTAATCATTCTTCAATAAAGGATAATAAATTTAAATAGTTGAGTTTAAATTCGTGAGAAAGGAAAATTCTTTCTTAACAAAGAATAGTGAATTTGAATAGCTCAGTTTAAATTGAAATATCAATATTTCTAGGATGATCCATTGTCTGCGTTGGATCATCAAGTTGGGCAACAGGTGTTCGATCAAGGAATCCGAAAATTGCTGCTCAGAAGTGGACGCACTGTGATTATGATTACTCATCGATTGGAATTGTTGTCCACCGCTCATCAAGTATAGTACTCACTTTGTACACTAGTCGAAACAATAACCAATACAATAAGCAAAAGTATGAAGGTTTCAGCTCGTGTAAAGAAAATTATTTTAAAAAAACACACTAGTTAAACACTGTTGATTGTGTAGCTGTTAATCATGGATATGGTTCAGGTCGTCGTCATGGATGGGTGTCGTGTTCGAGCAGTAGGAACGAAATCGACGATCGAAGACGCTGATCCAGAATTAGCGATCGAATGGAGGAAAACAGCGATAAATCAAGACGAAGAATACCGTGCTCATAGAACTGCCAAAGACAGATGGGCATTGATTAAATTAGCGTCCAGAATCAGCGCAAGGAACAAACAACCTAGCGATGAATCATGGATCACGGATCAAGACGTCCATGTGGTAAACTTTTCAATGAACAGTTATATTTATATGGAATTTCGAAGTACAGAATTATATAGGACGCATATAATATACAAGCTATAAGTACGAAACATATAAATAAATAAAAATAAATATACGCATAACTATTATATGATTACATCTCACAGGATATAGTACAACTTTTTACCGGAAAGTTTGAACAAATTTACATTAAAATTGTACAGTCCTGCAACTGATAAACTTAAAAAGTTCGTACTGCATTTCGACAATTACGACTTATTTCAAATAATTTGATTTCATCTCAGAATCCTCCGGCTTTTGTCCCATTAAGGATGAGAAGAGCTACCCTTTCTGGCTCCAGATACTTAGCTCACGATCTAACAGATCTACCGGTGCCCACAGAGGAATGGAACGTAGGGAAAAGGAAATTCCAATGCCATCGAAACGCTGTCCGATCGTCCAGTCTTCAACCTCAAAGACAACCACCCCCTGTTCTACGACAGAGCAGCACTCCAACAATTCTTGAGAGTCAATACACTGTGCCTAGGTATGTAATTAACAGACTGCGGATTTTTATGCATTTATGGAAAGTTTCGAGGCACAAGAATATATAAAATAAAGACACGTAGATATATGAAAAGTCCATTATCTATTGCAACAAATCTCTATCCGGGTTCCACATGTTTAGCAACGAGTTTGCATAAAAATCCGCAGTCTGGTAATTAGAATATTGATGGACAATATTCATCGTTCCTTTGGCGAATTTCCGAAACAAATTCGAAATTGGTTTCAGGAAAAGGAACAGCACATTTGACAACGAGCAACGAAACAGCGTTTTCAGACAAATATTTTCTAGCGCGTGAGTGAAACACCTACGCATAAACTTTCCTTCTGTAATTATAAACGAATGAGCTTCATTTCCGAAAATTTTCGTAGAATCATCAGCACGCATTCCGACGAACTGACAACGAGACAAAACAGAGACAAAAGCGTGCTACGAAGATTGATATCCCCCAACTCGAACAGACAGATACAGTTTGCTATCAAAAAGTACGAACAGAATGAATTCGTATATTATTTCTCGTAAACAGCAACGGGCATCCTTTTTCACGCAGTGCTTTTGTTCATTTAGAACGAATCAAGAACAGGAGAATGATCGTTTCCCCCTTAAACGGTTGCTATCGATCGAATCCAGAGGAACTAATGAATCCGATGAAGTCGAGGGAAGTTAGTAAATATCATAAAAAAAATTCTTTTAAAAGATAACATAAATTCTGCTACGTCCCCATACGTTAAGGAACACCTCAAAGTATGAAACAAAGTATGAAAAAGTTGTTGTCAGAAAATTTTCGTGTTAAAGCATATCATAAATTCAGTTTATCTTGTAAAACGAGAGCAAAGTTGAAACGTAGAAAATTGAAAATCGTAGCAGTGTTAGAATGATAAAATAAACAACACGAGATAATTTTTTTAAATCTATTTTTTTTTTTTTTTCCTTTAGAAGACTGTGATACGGAGGAACGAGAAGAAGAATCTCGGTACGAAGACAAAAGTGGAATAATCACGAGAATGATCTTCTGTGATTACGTTAAATCAGGGGGTTGGATACCAGGTCTAATTTACATAGGAGTGGCAGTTTTCTGTCAAACACTTCGAGTTTACATCGATCTCTGGCTGAGTCAGTGGACAAACGAAGACAACGTGAACTCCGATCAAGAAAATCGGAATGTAACTATACCTGGGTTATACCAATTTTCGTGGTAAAAACAAGCCTAAACATATGATATTTCGTTTCCGAGAAAATTAAATTCGAATGTCTCTTAAGCGTAATTGAATTAGATTAATTCAGGACAAGATATAGGAATAAATAATTCAGACAGAAGTTACTCTGTGCAATAAGTTAAAAATGTCGAATTTTTACAAAATTTTTTTTCATACAAAAAAAAAAGAAGACGGACTTTGAATATTTCTATATATCGAGAAAATATAAATTTGCATAGTCGTCGATAGACCGCAAATTCATATTTATGAGAAATATAAAAATAAAAGCTTGGGCCAATTCTTAGTAAAACACAAAAGTCTATTTGTTTGAAACAGAACACGTTCAATGCCTATTTCTCAGAAAACGAATTCTTCAATAAACATATTTTTGCATCATTGTACCACGAAACTGAGACACCCTTTACCCTTTACTGAAATACCAAATAGATAAGAATCTTATTTTATTTCAGACGGTGTTCTATTTTAAAGTCTATATAATTCTCTCCGTTATCTTTATACTCTTATCTTTCGTGTGTAATGCGACTGGCCAATGGACAGGCGCCAGGGCAAGAAAAAAATTACACGAGGAGGCCGTGTCCAGACTTCTTAGAGTGCCAATGTCTTTTTTCGATAGTAATCCTGTTGGGAAGATTTTGAACAGATTCAGCGCCGACACAGGTGTCATTGATAAGGTGAAATAATCAACAATTAAAATAGTTAATCACTTGAACTATTTACAATCATTCTCATTAATTCTGTTTGTCTCTGTAGAAAATATCCATGTCAATCCAAAGACTGACATTTTTCGTCCTACTGTGCAGTTCAGCAATGATGGTAAATGTTATCATATCACCGTGGTTCTTCATTGCTGCTGTACCTACGTGTGCAGCTTATTATCTCGTCCAAAGATTTTACAGACGCAGTGCCAAACATTTGCAAAGATTAGACGGCAGGTATGGCATTTTTTTTATGGCAATTCACGTATTGTTTTCTGTATACCTTTCTAGGATTCTCCTTCAACGTAAATTAACGAAATTTTATTCGTGATGAGATTTGTTCGACATTGATGTGTAAAATTGAATCAATGAATACATTTTGGCAACTAAAAGAAGACTCGCGATATAAAGTAATCCTTTGCATTGGTTTCACTTGCACAAACGTTCATTCTTTATGTATTTTAGTATCAACAGTAAAAGATCATATGATTATATATAAAATATAATTATAAAATAATCCTCAAGATTGTAAAAAGCATTTATACAAATCCACTAGTTTTGTGGTTCAGTTATAGTCTTCATTTTATATGCATTATTTAACGAATCTTTCAAGGAACTTCTCACTTTCCAAATTTAATTTGATCGCTTCTAGTACACGATGGCCTATCACAACGCATTTCTCTGAAACACTTTGCGGACTAGCAACGTTACGTGCTTCCAAGCAACAGAATCGTTTCATGGAACAAGCTATGAAATGTCTAGATGCCAACACGAACGCGTTCCTCCTTCTGAACTCCAGTAGTCGATGGCTCGGCATTGCTTTAGTGAGAAAACTTTCGAAATTAATGTCCCACTTGGCCGCTCTTTGTGATCTTTAACACCGTGAACACTTTTCAGGACTATCTTGGTGCAGTGATAGTTGGATCAGCGACGTTCGCTGCTTTAATTTCCACAGAATTGTACCCAGATCGTGTTACGCCTGCTCTAGTTGGTCTGGCGATTAATTACACCCTCTTAGTGCCAATTTACTTAAATTGGGTGGTGAAGTTCACGGCGGAGACCGAGATGTATTTTAGTAGCGTTGCTCGTATCTCTGCTTACAGATACGCCACTGTTGAGAACTATCAGCAAAATGGTACTTTCATCTCTTCTAATCTTCTCTGATTGTTTCGTTCAAAAAAATTAATTAATATTTATAATACAATGTAACGCGGTATTTTGCATTTTATATTTTATACGTGTATAGTCTTTGGCATATTTGTATTTAATTTTATATCAAATGATAAAATATTATTGCGTATCGTAGTTTAATTTTATTGTTTAAATAGCGACCATAGAAGAAACTTTACATGATCTTAGAACTATAGATTGTTTTTTATTGTGGTTACTGAATTGTTTTACTGAATTTTCATAATGTAAATAATTATATATTCAATATACGATAATAATGTTCAAACAAAACTTGATGATATTTTATTGTTACTGAATGATATTAAATCATACAGATCTATTAATACTACAATTAAATTATTATTATTACTATTATTATTTTATATTACAATTATTACTTTATATTTATATTACATATATTTTATATTATTTTATATTACAATTAAATTATTATTTTCTAGTTTATCATGTACCTGATACTTGGCCCACTAAAGGCGAAATTACTTACGAAAATGTTTCTCTGAGATACGTTTCACAAACAGAGCCAGTGATCTCGAACCTTTCGTTGAAAATTCCAGCAGGTCAAAAGGTAGAATATCACGAAAAATCAAATTAAATTCTAGATTTTATTAAATATTTCTCGTAGATTGGAATTTGTGGCAGAACCGGAAGCGGCAAGTCTTCCACAGCGATGGCGTTGTTTCGACTGCTGGAAATTACTCAAGGGCGTATATCGATCGACGGGATAAACGTCCGTCAAATCCCCTTGGAAATTCTTCGTTCGAGACTTTCAGCGATTCCTCAGGATGTGATCATGTTCAGTGGTACCATTAGGTAAAAAACCGCGTCTTTTGAAGGCTTAATATATAAATGATATATTACATAAAATGAAGATATTAAATTATGTAATAATACATCGTGTCATTTATATTTAATTTAATAGAGAAAATTTGGATCCTCTATCAAAGCACAAAGATCAAGAACTGTGGAATGCTTTGGAAGTGGCGCAAATCAAGGACATTGTGGCCTCTCACTCTGAAGGTCTCAGTAAGTGAATTTTTAATTTCAAACTTGTATTTCATGTTTCTGATGTATTATTATAAAAATAAGCTTATGCAGTTATAATAAACTTCTTTGCTAAAGGGATAAATAATAATTGGCTGATCGTTTGGATATCTCCTCTATTATTAATGATTTCAAAGATGATCAACGATTTTATTAAGAAGCCAATGTCCTAAAAGATCAATCCTTCTTAATTGTCCAAATTTTAAATAATGATCCAATGCTTTTAATCAATATTCTTAACAAACGTTTTAGAAGGAAAATAAGAGTATAATTGTTTGACACAGATTTCGAGGTGAAAGAAGGAGGTGAAAACTTCTCTTCCGGTCAGCTGCAGCTGCTCTGTATGGCGCGAGCGATCCTCCGGAAGTCTTCGATCGTCGTTCTCGACGAAGCAACCAGTGCGCTAGACGCTGTCACTGAGAAGTGTCTCTTGAAAGCAGTTTCAACTGCTTTCGAGAACAGAACAGTGATCGTTATCGCGGTAACTCTGTCTCTCTAACCGTCCAACATTCTTTTTCTCTCCGCGAAGCAAAATGCTTGTAACCACTTGTCAATTATCTCCTCTTTCGTTTTACCTTTCAGCATCGTGTATCGGCGTTATTAGACTGCGATCGAGTGATCGTGTTCCACGATGGGAAGATCGTCGAGGATGGATCGCCGGCAGATCTAGCGCAACGACAAGACGGATTCTTCGCGAATATGTTGAGGTCCAACGAAGAGAATCAAGCGACCAGTTGTTAAGAAACAAACATAAAGAAAGACATGACGCGTGAAAGAACGATACGATAAAGAAACGATCGATACAATTTGAAAGACTGGGATGGAAGAACGTGCCGTGTTTGATCATAAAGTATTTATTTTTGATACGGATCGTAGCGATAGAAGAAATTCTTGAAATATTTCTACAAATACAAAGAGAGATATGTACATTCGAATGATCGTTGACCGATCTGAGACACGTTTCATTTGATATTCATGTTTCACAGAAAATGAAACTGTTTTGCATATAAAAATCAAAACTCACGGTTAAATAATGATGTATTTAAAAGAAATATATTATTTCTCTTTTAATTTGTATATTTGCACATCACCAAGAAGAAGAAGAAAATAACTTTCGTCACACGATCGTGCATAATTTATACCTTCATTCTGAAGACATTTTTATCATTAAGAAATCACACTATATTATATCCTTCAAATATCATCAAAGAAGGAGAAAAAAATCAAAGGAACAGAATAACAACAAATAAGAAGAAATTCAAAATCCTCTTTTAATCTATATTTTACAATACAGATACTATTAATCCTCGAATAACGTCATTAGTTTGTAAATTCGCACTAAATTTTATCATTTCATAACTTATACTCCCTCTGAGACAGAGATCAATCAAAAACAGAATTAAATCAAATTCAAGATTGAAATCGCAGTAAACTCCCAACCAGATAGAAGTTAATCCTATAATGAAAAAAATAATTCCACAGCACGATCGTATACACCTTATACCATCGCTCCAAAAAAGTCCCCGGTTTCTCGGTCAGCCGACATTCTTATCACCAATCGCTCTGCACACGAACATACCTGCAACATCAATCAGAAAGCAAGAGAAAAGGAAAAGTCTCAAGTCGATTAATTTGCTGGATCCGCGACCATGGCCGATGTGTCTTCTTAGATCGAACGAATTAACGGAAATCTGTTTTCACGAAGCATTTTGGACATTATTTGTTCGTCGCGTACGACCACATGTAGCCGAATACACACAATCTAACATTACTGGCTGATATACACATATCACGTACGGATAAGATGCCAAACGATATAATTACCAATATCCCCACTGTTTGCCAACGATGGAAAACGAGCGCGTGTTTTTCAAGCAGTGGCATTGAGACCGGCCTGTCGATAACACCGCGGATTCGCAAGCGAAAGTCCATTCGAATCCTCTTCCTTCCGATCTTCCTTGTACACTTTTGATCGCGATATTCGAACGAAATTCACTCGTTTCTACAATAAATTTTTCCAATTCACTGTTTGGACTTAATGTTTCCGTCTCGAAGATAATTACCATGAGCAACATTCGCGCGTTTGAATATTCGCGCTGAGGATTTCAATATTTTTCGGTTCCAGTAACGAAGGCTCGGTATCTTAATCTTGGAAGTTTGAAAGAGTGAAGGTTTGATTCCTTTCCTCTTTTTTGTACTTCGATCGATTGTTTTCAAAGTTCGAAAAAAATCCTCCTCCTCCTCCTCTTGGAACTCTTTCGATCACGATGACAAGCGAAATTCACGCGTTTGTACGTTTTGTTACGAATCCTCATGTTTCGCGAATTCAATAACAAAGACGATAGTCTCGACGTTTGACGAAGCAACGCGCGAGAAAAATGAAAGCGCACGTTCGCCTACCGACAGTCTCTCGTGCTCTCTAATTATCGTTGAATAATCGATCGCGGCTGGAAACGGTCAATGAACATCGAAAGTGGCTCGTGCAACTCGTTCGCCGTAGTTTCGTGAATCCCCTGAGGAGAACAAGCCGATCAAGAAATCCAGACAATAATATTCAAAGATACGTGAGTATATTTTAGCTCGATTACGCTTGTGCTTCGTACGTGTTTGTCGAATCTCCTGTCGAGATTAGATTCGAAGAGATTCGGAGCATTCCTCGTTCACGTGAGTCCGTGAAATTCGTGTTGACGATCACGTTTCGCTTGCTCGTTAGGCACCGATATCTGTAATTGTTGTTACATCGAGCTCGCGGGAGAAATGGAGCACGAAAGGTTTTACCTGGCCGATGATTCATCGCTGAAGGGTCGCCGTAAGTTTTTTCACGACTGTCAGACGCTTTATAGACGTCTTATTTTTCTGTCATTTCTGAGAAATTTACAAGATATTTGCACTCGACGAAGAATTGTCGATATACTTTCAACTTCGATACTAACTTCGTGAAAGAAAAGTCGCACAGCAGTCCAGTTGGTTGCATTTTAAACCGTGAAATCTCTACTTTGATACCCCTAAGTTCGTCCTTTCAAAGGTGTTTCTACATCGTGCAGCAGGCAAGAGAATATAGATACTTTCTGTCTCGAAAATTGTACAAATTCAAACGTCTCTGAAACCACTGGAAAATTGTTTTCATGATTAAATCGGCCATGGTCTTGAACGTCGAAGTTTCCTCCTTACAACGATCCCTTAAATGTTGCTGTAACGATTTTCGGTCGTTATGTTATTGAGCTTCGAACGACGAAATTAGCCGGACATTAGAGGAAGAGATCTTGTTGAAACAGTTGGCACGTAAAGAGCAGAAAACGTGGGAAAACGAGTACGTTCGATGGATGAGAGGTGATAAAAGCTGTGCGATAAAAGATCATTTCGACGATAAGAGGGCGGAAAGTAAGAAAACGGGAGGTTATCAGTTTGTTTTCAGACACACGGTTGTAGAGAAGTCGCGACGAAGAACTGATTTTAAATATCTTTGTGTTAAACTTCATGTTACTCGCGGCAATTAGAATAAGAACATTTATATTTATATTTTATAATATAATCAAACGCATAAAACAATAATATAGACATTTGGATATTTTATATGTTTTGCCATGTCATGTGTATTCTGTGCAATTTTGCACTTTAAAATTTCCTATAAAAATTCATAGTCTTTTCTTTTTTTTTTTTTGTTTAAATTTGAAGTACTCATCATGGAACATTTGTGAAGATTGATTGTCATAATTGCGAACGAATAGAATTGATCGTCCATTAATTATAAATGGAATTTAGAAAATTGTTGATATATGTAATCACTTTCAGGCTCTAACTAGTCGACTTATTATCGTAAGAATTTATCTGTTCAAGGTTAATAACGAAAAAAAAAACGGCATGAGGTCATCGTTTCAAGGCCAATATCGAGGAAGATAAAGGAACATAATTCTCCTTCTCACGATTCATACCCAATTAAAAAGTTAATCAAAGAAAAAGCTTGAGAAATTCTCTTTAATAGAGCTTTTAATTCGGAAATTAAAAGAGAATGCGAAAGAAATATTGACAGAAAATAATAATATACAAATTCGTATTGATGTTCGAAAGATTGTCCTAAACATTCATTTATAATAGTGTTGTTGGATTAATTATTTTGATATATTAAAATATCGATTCTAGTAAATAGAAATAAAAGAAGCTGTTATCATCTACAGTTAGAGTGAATGTCTACAAATGTTTGAAAAGATATCAATCTTCCACAGTCGTGATAAAGTATTAAAATTCGATTTGTTTGATTTAATGCAATTCAATTCTTCGTACAAGAAGCAATAAACTAATAATGTCGAAGTTTATTATGTTGTAAAGTTACCTAAGTTTCAAAGTTAAGATTTAATATTTTTGTAATTTTTATATAGAATGCATATGAAGTGTATTGGACACACAAATACAACGTATCTGAAACATACAAGATTAATTTAAATTTCATATAATTTTCTCATCATCCGAATATTTTCTTTTTTCTAACTTTAAAGTACGACATTTCTATCAAGGTTCTTGTTTTAACTATGTACAGTGTACAGTCTTAGAAGCATGAATTTATATAAAAATCATCTATCCAGTCACAATTATTGTAATATGTGAAAATACAATTAATCAATGAATATGTTAAAAAAACAATTGACAAGAGCAATATAACGGTGCTCGGATATTAACCTCTGATTACTATAATTAAAATAGTAAAGATTCATACTAGAATTTAGAGATTTATTTTTAAATAATTCATTTCTCGTATATCACAAAATGACAGGCCTTGTCTCTCGTGAAATCAATGACACCAGAAATATTAACAAAAGGACGAACCAGAGGAGCGACAGGATTCTCAGAATTTCATCTATGCTCTACAGGATTTCAGAATCTCGGGAAGAACGCGTCCTGTGCTCTTTACCCGAAAGAAAGAAACGGGCACGCCGACCTTATTAATGAAAAGAGAATAGATAGATTATCTCGTTAGATAAGGCACGGCCGCGTATGTACCTGTCTGTTGACACTGCGTCTCTTTGTTATCACCTAGATAAGATTTCTACGTCTTTGTCGAACTTGAGGCGTCAGTATTACGCGCGGATTCGCCGAGTGAACCTCCTCTACATCGTCCCTCTGAGAATCTACAATTTTCGTTGCTCGAGAAGCTACACCTCCGAGCCATTATTCGTTTCCTCGGCAAGTTTCCTCGTTCCTCGATCACGTCCTCCACGCTAGAACCGAAAGGTGAGTTGTTCCCACGTGACAAAGATCTCGACGAGTTTTGCAAGAACAAATGACCGCGATGCGATGAGACTGTATTGTTAGTGAGAACGAAGAATATGTAGTCTGTTGTCGACACGGTGGACATCTCCAAATCAAATCGATCAAAGGGGACGACATCACAGTCGTGAGATAAAGTCGACTCGGTGAATGTTTGTTGAACTCATTATTCGTTGCACGATTATGCACGTAGAATAGCATTTTCGGATTAGAATGGAACAGAGATTGTGACGATCGGGGAATAATGAGCTCGCTGTCAGTTTGAGATTTATTAATCGCATAGGATGGGAGAAAAACGAATCATCCATTACATGATGCGTGCATATTCAATGGTAACAATATCTGATCATAAACTAAAAATTTTGGACCAAGCATTCCATTGTCACAATATTATGATATTACCTGGATATTATAAATTTTATTACATCATAAATTATAATATTATAAACATTACAATATCATAAATATATCTATCT